ACATCCAACAACAGAACACCTCAATCGCTTAGGACTAGGAGTCATTCTTGTCTACATCTGCTCCTGCGGTGAAACAATGGCGGACTGATGACAGCTCACTCAGGGTGGGTCTGAGGTAAGACACCAGTCCAGTCTGTGCTGAAACGCTACTCTGTCAATCAAACTATCGTGGGAGGGGCCTGTCTGTGTGACGTCACACTGACAGGCATCTGAGATCGGCTTGATTTGAGAAAGGGGAAAACATTTAACAAGATAAAAATTAAAAAAAAAACACCTGGTGGATTTTTATCATTATAGGGTGGTTGTGTACACACACTGCCAACACACATTTCAGTTCAAACAACTTGTAAAAGTGCATGTAGCATCCTATGACCCCTTTAAATGAGCTAAAACAACTACACAAGATATTTCTTATTTTAATTGACCCCCTCAACAGCTTTTTTTATTTTTATTTTTTGGAAGAATCAGGGTTCCAGCAGTCTTGAAAAACCTGCATGAGGTAGTCGAAAGGCCAATTCACACTGCAGCGACTGATGTTTTTAAACCGCAACTGACACATTGGTCTGGTTTTGTCCGATCAGTGTGTTACCCCTGTTGGCACTGGTAGGTGCTTGTTTTCGCGGATTGAACATGAATCAGTGTTCATCGGGTCATGGGAAAAGTGAAAAGTGACGAACTGTATTCAGTCGGCTGTTGCGCTGGTCTGCGTCTGTCGGTGTGGTGTGAATTGGCCTTCATTTTAAGAGTCATTTCTAGACGTGGAAAACTCATGTAATTTGATAAAATCGTACAAATCCATTACCATTTTATAATGAATACACTTTTTTTTTTTTTTTAGTTATGCCAAGCTCTAATTTTATTAGGTAGAAATTGTGAGTAATAAATATTTTTAAAAATCCTATAAATGATCCTATGCTAAACATAATCCTATATCCAGTAACTCAAGAACGACTGGAAGATTCATGTTAATCCACTGGTTAAAAAGAGCGGAATCCCTGAAGAACATTCAGCTCTTCAAAGTTCTGAAATCCTGAAATGTAATTATTAGAATTTTAATTATAATTGTTTAAGTTACTTATCTATAGACATTACTGGTTTCTGTACATTAAAAAAAAAAACTATCATAGCAGATATACCAAGGAAAAAACTTTAGCTTACATTGTTGTGGACAATGGGGTCAGAAAGGTTTAGAACAACTAGACAAAAAAGCCATCCTGTTTTTATTAGGCTATTGGAATACATTAGTAATGCTTTCATACCAAAGCTTATTTGGCAATTACAAAATCAGTTGATTAAGAATAGAAGGGAAGTATTGCAACATGATTGATTTAAGAGTTATTTTGGCCAGAATAAAACTGGCTTGATAGGCAATTTCCTATTTTGTTCTCTTTTTCACCTCCTAACAAAGAAGAGAAGATTTGTAGCACTAATGCAACAAGGATGCACATCATGTGTGTTTTTAAAATCTATAATTGACATACCTCCAACTTGTGCTCAAAGCTTGGGCTCAAAGAAAATCACACATTTCCCCACAACTTTATAGTGGTGTTCGTGTCTGCACAACTCATAAATTTGATCACACGTATATGACGCAGCAAAACTGACTGGTATCTCTGGATTGTTAATCACTTCCAACAATGGGAAGAGGTATTTTAGCTTATATTTCAATCAAAAGACACACATGCAAACTCATACTCACACATTTGCCCATTAGCTTGCTTAGAGGCTTCATGATAAACGAGGAAGCAAAGCCACTTAGGAACATGACCAGGGGAATGGTGGCTATGTACTTCTGCAAGAAAGAGGATCAAACAGAGATCACTGCCTTTTTTCTTCGATGCTTTTGTTGATGAACTGGGTGCAAAGTGTAGTATTACTATAGTTGTTTTACCTTTGGCAGCAGTAGTGTGTAGGTGAGATACATGGATATGTATGTTTGTGACAGGTTCACTATCAGTCTGGTGGACATATAAAGCATAGCCACCTGAATAACAGAGCAGGGTTAAGAGATGATATTAACTTTCTGATTGTCAGTTATAACAGACAGTTACTAAATACAGTCCTGAATGTTTTTACACCACTGTGATTAAGTGACAACACTGTTTCAAGCCACTATTCAGATTAATCACAAAAGCTGAGAATTACATTACACGCCACTAAAGAGTAACACGGGTACTGGCTGCTAACCTGGTAGAATGATGGCTGTCGCAGCCAGTGCTTCCACTGCAGTAGACTTGTGGGAGGAGCAACAGTGGTGTTGTTAAGAAGAGGCTGGCACTCCCCAGGACTAGACCCCTCCTCCTCCTGACGGGGACGTGCCCCCTTCTCCCGTGTGCCCAGGTGAAAGAGCAGCGAGAACAGAGCTCCAATGCCCACTACTGTAAGACTTAGACCCTGAGTGAACAGATTTTACCAAAGTCACTTTAAGGCAAGTCATGTCACTCGGCGGCCATCTTTGAAACGCCTCTCTGGCATGCAAGTGCAGCTCCTATCTCTTGGAATGGAGAAACATCAAATTCTCCAAAACTTTTTTTTTTCGCCAACCTTACGATTAAATTTCATATTTGAAATCACCAATGAAATCTGACAACAACTGTCTCATAAATGTTGTTTCTTATGCTCCAATAGCATAAAAAAAGTGTATTTTTCAGGCTAGACCAGCCAATGCGCATGCGCAGTCCTAAGCGTGCATCTCCAGAACGTTGTTTCTATAGCAACCAGGGCTTCTAACAGCTGCAGTGACGCGATGACTTTACCGATTAGCTCTTTTATTTTATTTTATTTTTATTATTGAGCGTTGCATTTTTCCCCATTCAAAACTATACGAGTGACACGTCTTGGGTATGCTATAGTCTTTGATATCACTGCATAAAACTTGTCAGAGCTGTTTTGACCAGGCCTACATTATGTAACATGGTAGGTTAACATCAACAGAAGCAAAGACTGAAAAGACCGGTCTATAAAAAAAATCAGCTGAAAACCATAAACTGTTGATTATATGCATTTAAAGTATTTAACTACTGATATAAAGAAACATCTAAAAGAAATTTGCTGGCTCATACAAGGTTCAAGGAAACCATGTCCATCAAAATTTGAATTTATACTGACTTTTAAGTCAACATGAAACTGATCCTCTTTACTTAGTTTAAATAAACTTTCCCTGTCTTTTTTCCATAGACAGATAGATAGATAGTCACACGATCCATCAAAAATCATTCTAATATGCTGATTTAGTGCTTAATAAACATTATTTGTACCATTATTTTTACTTATTATTACCAATGTTAAACAGTTATGCTGTTTAATATTTTTGAAACTGTGACACATTTCTTCCAGGATTCTTTGATGACTAAAAAGTAAAAAAACAGTATTTACTTTTATATTTTTTGCAACATAATATGTGTCTTTACTGTCACTTTTGATCGGTTTTGTTTCTTTTCAGTTTTCTTTAAAAAAAAAAACTTTGCATGGTAGTGTGTGTAACAGAGTATAATTGTACATCTATTTATTTAATCAAATATAATTTAGGACTACACTAGCACACACAGTCACAAAAATTTTAAAGGGGTCATATGATGCAATTTCAATTTTTCCTTTCTCTTTGGAGTGTTACAAGCTCTTGGTGCATAAAGAAGATCTGTAAAGTTGCAAAGACTGAAGTCTCAAATCCAAAGAGATATTCTTTATAAAAGTTAAGAGTCAGCCATGCCTACCTAAAACGCCTCGTTCTAACGCCCCCACATGTCTACGTCACGATGTGCGCCGTTCTCAAGCCCGCCCGCCTCTGCTCACTCAAGCCGGCCTCCGCATACTCTAGGCCGCCGCTCAAACGCGAGTTTTTTGGGCAGTGTAGAGTAGCACTTGTTGTTTGTCATTTCTCCGATCACAAATGCAGACATGGTTTTATGTTACGCTCCGGCCGGACAGGGCATCACAATATGGTAAGGGACGTAACATTTCCGTCAAATGCTTGAGGTATTCGGCCAATCACAACGCACTGGATAAGCTGGCCAATCAGAGCACACCTTGCTTTTCAGACCGATGAGCTTTGTAAAAATCGACGCGTTTCAGAAAGGCGGGGCATAGAGGAGAAACAGTATGTACAGTATGTGGAAAATAATGTTTTTTTTAACCTTAAACCGCATAAACATTTCATTACACCAAATAATGTTCTTTTTAGCAGCAGCATATGACCCCTTTAAAATCATGGGGTCTTTAAATTGAGCTATTTTTAATGCAGGATGAAATGACCAAGGGTTCCGTTCAGCACAATAACTTCAACACTCACTCTGAAAACAGGGATGTCAACCAGGCCAAGGTTTTCCGTAATGGCAGGATCATCTCCTTCCTGAGTCTGAAAATGAAACATCAGCCAGGCCACTGCATACACTGTGATGTTGGCTATCACAGTAAAGGCATACCTAAAGGATACAACCAAAATACAATAAAAAGCTAAGACATCATCCCGGTCACTACAGACAAAGTCCTCCAAACAAGCATCATGAGAACAGTTGATCATTACATGCGCAGATCTGCACGAGTTTACCTGTACGCAGTGAGCTCCACTTTTTCATGCTCGCAAGTCACCAGCTCGGGAATGAGGGAGAGATGGGAAATCTGTGTGGCCGCCCATCCAAACTGGAAGATGACGATGAAGGGGGTGAAGTAAGTGAGACTGACCCACTGTGGAGTGTCCAGATCACAGCCCAGGCACTGGTTAAATATAAAGGGGAACGACAGGAGGACGCTAATAGTTCCTAAATAAAGTAAAAAGAGTAAATGATAATAATATATCATACATAAATATGCAAGAGATAAACCTTAAAGAGGCAATTTACCCAAAAACAAATTGTGTCACAATTTACTAAGGACATAATATGAAAATTTAAGTGAATTCATCCCTGAAATCTTATTTTGAAAGTAATACAGGTCTAGAACAACATGGTGATGACAGACTCATTTTTGGCTGAACTGTCCCTTTAAGTTCCTCGTCACTCACCGACTAAATGCCATGTTTTTCTCTTCCCATATGATCCACAGCCGGGTGTCTTATCAGACTCATAACCGATGAGTGGTGTACACACTCCATCCGCTATTTGTCCCACTAGCAGCAACACACCAGCATATGTGTTCTGAAAGCCCAGCACAGAATGATAAAACACCAGCAGGTATGTGAACCACATAGAGGCGCACAGGTCGTTGAGAAAATGCCCCACTGAGTAACTCAAGCGCCTGAACGCGGGTAAAGAGGCTTCTGAAGAGTCCGGCATGATTAACGCGATACAGTCAACCCTCAGTCGGCTAAAAATGCGTATTCCCTTTTATCAAGCTCAGCATATTGCCCTCTCCAGCGCCGGCTTCCACACTGCAGGGAGAATGAGTCTGGTGTGAAGTTCAAGGCTCTCGGTCCATCACTGTAGAAAGAGTCAGTTCCTAAGGATTTGGTCAGCTGACTTCGTAAATGAGTCACGATGGATTAGGCGCGAATTGAAATTGTAACATTCTCTTTCATGAATCGATGCTTACAGTTTTAAATGTCATGTTGGTAAATATTAATGCAGCATGGTTAATGTTGAATTTGTCTAGTGCGCAAAACGTAGTATAGCGTAGCGCCTTATTTTCGATTCGTGTTGTCATGACGTGTATTTTAGGCCACACCCTCTCATCCGGCGTGTTGCCATATCCTCTTTAATACGAGCGACTATGGTGTATGGAGAACGAAACCTGCAAAAACAATAAATAAATAAATACACAAACCATAATTGACACCCTCTCATTAGCATGTTGTGCAGAGGAAAAATAAATGTGGAACTACATTCAGAAATGAGTGATCAAAGGAAAATAAATAGGATGAGTTTAGCATTTCCTTAAACAGTTTCCATTTGTCCACCAATTTATTTTATTTATTTGCCTACTTTAATCACGTTTAATTATTTCTATATTTATTTAACCAAGAATTTGTGTATTTATACAGACATTTATTTATTTATTTGCATATTTATTTATTTGTGTATTTATTTATTGTTTTTGCAGGTTTCGTCCTCCATAATGCTGGTGAGTGGTGGTGGTCGCAAAATATGAGCAGTCGTGGTTTTTAAGGTCATTTCCACAACACGCGGTTTTTAAGCTTATTTCCACAGTACAGTCGCGCATTTTTTTTGTTTGCTAGTGTATGAGCCACATAACACAATAATGTAGCAGTTGTCAAAAAACGTTATCCCCACCTGCTGTTCAATCAGCACTCTACATCAGGGCTGCCCAAACTCTGTCCTGGAGGGCCGGTGTCCTGCAGAGTTTAGCTCCAACTTGCCTCAACACACCTGCCTTTAAGTTTCTAGTATGCCTAGTAAGAGCTTGATTATCTGGTTCAGCTGTGTTTAATTGGGGTTGGAGCTAAACTCTTTAGGACACCGGCCCTCCCGGACCGAGTTTGGACACCCCTGGTTTATAGTGTCATATAAAGCGCGTTTATATCCACATTGGGGTTGGAGCTAAACTCTTCAGGACACCGGCCCTCCAGGACCGAGTTTGGGCAGCCCTGCTCTACATAAACTACAGTTGTGCTCAAAATTATTCATACCCTTGGTAAATATGATCAAAGGCGGCTGTGAAAATAAATCCGCATTGTTTATCCACTTGATCTTTTATTCCCAAAAAAAAAAAAAAAAATCTAACCTTTAATTAAAGTGAAAAAAAGTGAAAGTGGGGGAAAATCTCATTATGAAATAAATATATTTCTCTAATACAGTAAGAGGACGTGTGTATATTGTCCTAATGCACGGTGAGGAGGAGAGTTTGATTTGGCCAAAGACTGCAAGGATCACAGCTGGAGAACTGCAGAAAATAGTGGAGTCTTGGGGTCAGAAAGCCTAAAAAAAATAAAAAAAATTAAAAAACAATGTTGTTTGGGAGAGTTTCTAGAAAACGCTCTCATCCAAAAACAAACTTAAAGCATATTTATTTACTAGACACGACTGGAACTTTAAACAGGACTGGGTTCAATGTTCAGATGAAACTAAAAAATAGCTTTTTAGCAGCAAACACTCAAGATGGGTTTGGTGCACACAGATAAAAAAGTACCCCATGTGTACAATGAAATATACTGCTGGATCTTTAATGTTGTGGGCCTATTTTTCTGCCGGAGATCCTGGATATCTTATTCGGATAGATGGCATAATGGATTTTATAAAATACCAATGGATACATTTTTTTAAACCTGACTGTCCATGCTAGAAATCTTATAATGGGCCATGGTTGGATCTTCCAACAGGACAATGATCCACAAACA